TGAAAAAACCTTAAACGACAATTAAAACGAAACGGACACAATATAATCTTCCTTCACATGGTTACAAACTTACAATTTAGTTAGTTGCGGCTTCATCGTTGCTGAAGTCACTGAACTCAAACATGATGCTTGTCGAATTGTATCTATCCAATTGATGTCAGAATTTACAAATATTCTCTATTCTTGTTACTAACTTATATGAAAATAATATAAGAGTTGTCTTATTGGAGGTTATTACTATTTAAATATTCTGACATATAGGAATTTCGGTTCGTTGGCTTTGGCATTTCTTGTCAATCCTCTTTTTTTTTTTTTTGTAAGCAAACTATAGGGTTTGTATTTTTCTTATGTCAGCATTAAAGGTTTTCATTAATTGACATTTCATGTTTTTATTTTTATATATGAATGATAAAATTATGTAATGTATAAACGGGGGGAATTTTAAAATAAACTAAAAGATGTGGCTAATACCTATCTGATGTCACCACTTTGGATCGTTAGAACTATCAATTATTGTCATATCGTAGAGCACATGCAAGTCACTAATCCAGTGTTAGATCTACTAGTTGTCTTTAAATTATTAAACCTAAACTTCACTTATCTAGTTATCTTTTGACAATTTTGTTTAGAACTATGGGTGTATCAAAAATATAATTGTTTGATTTGATCTGACTATACCAATTAATATTTTTTTGTTTGAGGTACTTAGGTTAAATGATAAAATTGATATGCAAAAAGATAATTGAATTTTTAATCCTAGTAATATTAAAATGGAAGTACATAAAAAAGTAAAATCAAATTTATTACATCATATACCATTAACATACAGAATAAACAATTTTCTTTTATTAAAAAAATGTATAAACAATTAGATGAGAGCTATCTTTTTTCTAGGTAAATATGAGAGCTCTTTTAAATCAAGAGCATATGAAGTTCTAATATTTTAGGGTGGAGTGCTTAAGAAAACAAAAAATTAAAAATAATGAAGACACTACAGCAGCTACAGCCTACAGCTAACTCACACTGATATTTCATACATTTATTCATATATGTGACGTAAGAAAAACTAAAGAAAAATAGACAAATAATAAGATGAAAATAGGAATGAATCAATCAACATCCTCAATTCTGTGTGTGCTCTAACTAATTGGCCCCCACGAGGACCGTATAATTGTACAGCCACGCCGCATCCGATTCCTTTTCTCTTGATAGACAAAATAGCAATCTCATTTCCCATTTCTATTTAATATATTATTATACTACAAAAACATTTCAATAATGTCTTTATACATATCTTAGTTGCACAATTTGTATATTTGAAATCTGGACTTGGTAGAGAATGTATTAGAACCTAGAAGTTTAGACATTCTCGAAAGAATTGAGGAATTAAACGTTTAGTTGTGATTCTTTCTTGCCAAATTATAAGCCAAGGAACAATTTGTTGGGGAGGTAGTCGTTCACTGTAGGAGATTTTGCGAATTGCTATTTGGGTTCATATGTCATTTGAGGTTTGTTTTGACCATCAAGAAGTTTGGGAGGCCGTTAGTTTTCAAATTTAGATCATTTTTCTTTGTTCGTTTATGTGTTGTAACCTCTTTGTCTTTAGTTTTAAGCTTGATTTTTTTTTTTGGTTTTGTCGTGAGCAGAGCCGTAGCAACGATTATGAGGGCCGTGTTGGATAAGCTTGAATTTAGACTTGAGAAATAAGTCTTTGTTTAAGAGATAATTATGTATATTTTAGGAGTTATCTAAAATATACTCCTAATCAAAGTAGGAATAGGTCTATGAGTTTTATGTATAAATATGAGTTACCAAAGTGTGGTAGACCATAAGAGATTGAGAGATTAGAGCTTTAGGTTTTGAGGAATTTTCCTAAAGAAATAAAGAGAGTTATTCTTTATATTTGAGTTCTTAATCTTTCTTTGAACACAAGAATTGGTATCAGAGCTTTTTGTTGAGATCGTGAACCAAGAGGAAGTGAAGGAGACATGGGTGATATTATTCCCGCGACGGGAAAACCGAAAGAAGGCGGAGGATCGGCCTCAATTCAATGTCATATGCTAAACACAACAAATTACACGGTTTGGGCCATAAGAATGAAGATAACACTTAAGGTTCATAAAGCTTGGGACGTTATTGAGACCGCGACAGATGACGTAGAGAAGAACGACATAGCCATGGCTCTTCTCTTCCAATCAATCCCTGAAACCCTAGTATTACAAATCGGAGAACTCGATACAGCCAAGAAAGTGTGGGATTCGATTAAGGCTAGACATGTGGGAGCAGAAAGAGTCAAGGATGCTAGGTTACAAACTCTCATGACTGAATTCGACCGTCTTAAGATGAAAGACACCGAGAAGATAGATGACTTTGCAGGAAAGATATCCGAAATATCTTCAAAATCAGCTGCCCTAGGTGTAAACATTGAAGACATAGTCGGACGATTGAAAGTGTATGAGGAACGTGTATGTGAAGAAGAAGAACCACATGACGATCATAGCAAACTCATGTATGCTAATGCGGACTCTCAAACTGGATACTCAAACCGGGATTACAACAATGACTATATGGGCAGAGGACGTGGTCGTTTTAATGGAGGAAGAGACACGTCTAAAATAACATATTTTCGGTGTGACAAGCTCGGTCACTATGCCTCTACATGTCCGGATCGATTACTAAAACTACAAGAAGTTCAAGAACAGAACAATGATGACACACAAGAAGCGGGTGAACTCATGATGCATGAGGTGGTGTACTTGAATGAAAAGAATTGTATTCCTAGTGAATATGAGACAAACACCGGAGAAGAGAACATATGGTATCTTGACAATGGAGCAAGCAACCACATGGCAGGAGACCGGCGATATTTTTCAAACCTTGATCACTCTATTATGGGTAAAGTGCGATTTGGAGACGATTCACGCATAGACATCAAGGGGAAAGGATCAATCTTGTTCATTGATATGAATGGAGAACAGAAGAAGATGTCAGATGTATATTTTATCCCAGACTTGAAGAGCAACATTATCAGCTTAGGCCAAGCTTCGGAGTCCGGGTATGATATAAGAATGAAAGATGATCACTTAACCATGCATGATCGTGATGGGAAGTTGCTTGCTAGAGCAAGTAGATCAAGAAATCGTCTCTACAAGGTCCGTATGGGAATAACAGACACCACACAACTTCATCTAACAACAATAAGTGAGGCAAACAGATGGCATGCACGTCTTGGACATGTAAATCTCGAAACCATCAAGAACATGATGCAAAAGGAGCTTGTTCAAGGATTACCACATATCAGTTTTGAAAAGGAAATATGCGGGTCATGCTTGCTTGGAAAACAAGCGAGACAAGTGTTTCCGAAAGCTACCTTATTTAGAGCTGCCAAGATACTTCAACTTGTACATGGTGATCTCTGTGGCCCCATAACTCCAAGAACAACTGCCGGAAATAGGTATGTCTTTGTTCTTATTGATGATCACTCTAGGTACATGTGGACAATCCTATTAAAAGAAAAAAATGAAGCTTTTGACAAGTTTAAAAAGTTCAAGAGTTTGGTGGAACAAGAGTCTGGAGCAAGCATAAGGACCTTCAGAACTGATAGAGGAGGAGAACTTAACGTTTTTGTGAGTCGGGGCGTAATATTTGATGAGAAAAAGAGTTGGAACTGGATTTACAATGAGTCGCAACATAACAATGATGGGAGTTTCAGTGTTACTTTTGGAGAATTTGGGAATCGTGGCATTCGGGAAGAAAGAGAGAATCATGAAATAGAGGAAACAGAGAGAGTTTACAGTGATGAAACAGAGCAAGCTAATGATGATACAGAACGGGCTGAAGGTTTTGATGAAGAAGTTGGCGAGGAAGGAAGCAATGATGAAAATGAGATTGCTCATGAGCATGATACATAAACTGTTGAGAATCAAGAACAGTTACACGCAGGACCAAGAAGAACACAGAGACAAATTGTCAAACCAAAATATCTCGAAGACTATGTGTTATTTGTGGAAGAAGAAGGAGGAAGGTTATTGCTTTGTCTCAATAATGAGCCGTTTGATTTCATAGAAGCTAAAGAATCAGAGGAATGGATAAAAGCTTGTGAGGATGAAATTAACTCGATAAACAAGAACAAGACTTGGGATCTTGTAGAACTTCCACATGGAGCTAAACCAATTGGTCTAAAATGGGTCTTTAAGCTTAAGCGAAATTCTGATGGAAGTATCAATAAACACAAAGCTCGATTGGTTGCAAAAGGCCATGTACAACAATACGGAATTGACTTTGACGAAGTATTTTCTCCTATAGCTTGGATAGAGACAATACGCCTTCTTGTAAACCTTGCTGCTTCAAATGGGTGGGAGATACACCATCTCGATGTCAAGACGGCATTTCTTCACGGAGAACTTAAAGAAACCGTTTATGTAATGCAACTGGAAGGATTCAAAGAGAAGGGCAGTGAGGATAAGGTCTATAAACTCAATAAGGCATTGTATGGATTGCGACAAGCACCGAGAGTATGGAACGATAAACTAAATCAAATTCTAAAGGAGCTTCAGTTTGTGAAATGTTCAAAAGAACCATCAGCCTACCGCAAAGCTTTAGGAGAGAACAATATCCTTCTCGTGGCAGTATATGTAGATGATTTATTTGTCACAGGGACAAACTTAAAGATCATTGACAGCTTCAAAGATGAGATGGCTTCTAAGTTTGAAATGAGTGACCTCGGGAAGCTAACTTATTATCTTGGGGTTGAAGTATGTCAACATGAGAAGGGAATTACACTAACTCAACACCGTTACGCCAAAAGGATCTTGGAAGAGTCAGGGATGAAAGAATGCAACTTAGTTCACACACCAATGGAGTCTGGACTAAAGTTATCTAAAGTTAAAGAAGAAAAGGAGATCGATGCAACAAGCTTTAGAAGAAATGTTGGCTGCCTTCGATATTTGCTTCATATAAGACCAGACTTGAATTTTTGTGTTGGTGTTCTTAGTCGTTATATGCAGAATCCGAAGGAATCACATGCAAACTTAGAGCATTTGAGAGAGATTAAGAATCCTGGTGGTGGTTCTAATTTCTATGCTGATTCTAAGGTTGAAGTTGATCACGTTGAGTCTTCTAAAGAGAAAGGTAAAGACAAAGCAGAGCCCACCAGAGAAGAGATGGTTGATAAAGAGAAAAAAGCCAAGGCTGGAAGTGACAAAGAGAAGGAAGGAGAAGAAGAAAAAGAAGGACTGAAACTTGAAGATGAGACTGAAGAAGAAAAAAAGAGGGAAGAGAAGGAAGAATCTTTCGAGAATCTCTGCAAGACGATTAAGGAAATTCTTGGAGATAAAGTTGAGAAGGTTGTGGTCTTAGACAGGATTGTGGACTCTCCTTTCTGTCTAGTAACTGGTGAATGCGGATGGACTGCGAACATGGAGAGGATTATGAAGACAGAGGCGTTGAGAGATAGCGTCATGAGTGGTTACATGTCGAGCAAGAAAACAATGGAGATCAACCCCGACAATGGTATCATGGAGGAGCTTAGGAAGAGAGCTGAAGCTGACAAGAATGACAAGTCTGTTAAAGATCTTGTCATGTTGTTGTTTGTGACAACTTTGTTGACTTCTGGATTCAATCTTGATCAACCAAACACGTTTGCATGTGCTAGGATTCACAAGATGTTGAAGTTGGGTCTGACATTGATGACTGATAAGAAGATTTCAAGCTTACGGGGGAGATTGTTGGATAAGCTTGAATTTAGACTTGAGAAATAAGTCTTTGTTTAAGAGATAATTATGTATATTTTAGGAGTTATCTAAAATATACTCCTAATCAAAGTAGGAATATGTCTATGAGTTTTATGTATAAATATGAGTTACCAAAGTGTGGTAGACCATAAGAGATTGAGAGATTAGAGCTTTAGGTTTTGAGGAATTTTCCTAAAGAAATAAAGAGAGTTATTCTTTATATTTGAGTTCTTAATCTTTCTTTGAACACAAGAGGCCGCCCGCGGAAAAAAAAAAAGGCCGCTCTAGAAAAGTGTATACTTATAAAAAAATTTAACCATAAAAAAAAAACAAAAAACAAAAAAAAACCTTCTCTCACGCTTCAGGTGATTCGAACTCATGACCTAAGATATGTGGTGTATGACATAATACCACTAGGCTACCAAAACACATTGGTATTTGAGGGCCGAAAATATTAATAACTTCTCGGAGGGCCGCAGCTCCCGCTTCTCTTGCTTCTATCCAGCTACGGCTCTGGTCGTGAGATTCTTTTTTTGCTAAAACTTGGCTTTTGAAAACATTTCGTTATTTGTCGGTTTAGTTTTTAGGTATTTCACCAAACTTTTTAGGATAGATTTCAGAATGACAAAAAAATGCAAAACAAAGATGTCTATATTCATACGCGTATCAAGGAACGTATGTACGCGACGAGTATAAAGGAGAAATGGTTTGGAATTTGAATTGAGAGAATGAGGTTAGGTTGGTTGATGGTGATGGTGGCTATTGGTGTGGCAGGGTCCACATGTATATATAGTTGAACCCACGCCAGATTCGGTCATCTTGACTTGTGTGTACATAATATACGTAAATGTGTACGACCCAAATATTTTTTATTAATCATCACCATTCATTTGCCATTGTGCTTTTTTCTTTTTTCTTTTTTTAAAGTCATTTGTCATAGTTTTAGGAGATTAATTTTTTGAGCAGATATAGACTTTGGAAAATGTAGCATTATTTCAAGCATTTCTTAACTTTTTTATATATATTTAATATTGTAAAGAAATATTCCACATGGAAATGATGGGAAAAGATTTAACTAATCTATATCTATATATAACAATATTTGAGAAGTGTTTTTGCTGACGTGTCGGACTCTCGGCTCTTGTTGAGTCATTGATTTTACGTAATTACTTAATTACCCTTAATGAAATCTAATTAATTTTGGAAAAATTAAATTGAATTTCGGAATTAACCAGGAAAAAATAATTTTGGAAACAATAAACATGATAATTAACCAAAAAAAAAAAAGGAACAACGAAGTACCAGTTAGGAAGCTTTAATTGAATTCATCGTGTTCTTCGTCGTGTGAATATAATTTTTCTAAACGAAGGCAAAACTTGAAATCCTAACATAAAGCATATATTCATAGCAATAACAGAGATCTAATAATTTAGTGATAGAATTTCACCTGTTGATCTGTCGAAGCAGAATAGTCAAGCTTCTCATAGTATCTTGCCCATGTTATGTCTTTAAGACGTCAATACTATCCTGCACCCTATAATTCTAACCAATGAAAAGAACAAATATTTATTACCTTGGATACAGAGTTGACGAAGAAACCTTGGATAAAAACTCGACGAAGAAACTTGTAAGTGTTAATGTATGATGAAGCTTCCATGAACGTGAATTCGTGATCATAATGAAGAAACGTGGGAAAGGGGACGGGTGAAGGGTTTTTTTTTTTTTTTTTTTTTTTTTTTTTTTTTTTATTAATCCTTTTTTACCTTTTGTGTAAACAGATCTGTTTCATAATTTATCGGAAAAGGAATTATACTAAAAAAAAAAAATCAGAAAAGGAAAATATTTATTATAATATTGATATATTTAAGATGATAATGTCAAATATCCAAAAATTATTAATCGGAGCATTAATATAAACATAAAAGAATACTATTCTAACCTTACTCAAATTAATAAGATTTAGATATCCGAAATTAATCGTAAACGGCTATTAATTGTTAAACTAATTAAAATAAAGATCAAACGTACTGGAATAGATGAAATTTTTGGTATGATCGTCGTGTTCGTCGTCGTTTCAATCTAAATATTTGGAAAAAAAACGAACAAAAAAAATAATATGTAGATCAATGAAAGAGAACCCACCAATTTAGAAACGGTTATCACGCCATCGTATTGTTCGTCGGATGATTATAAGTCTCTAATCCGGAGATTGACTTGAACCCTGACAAAAACATATATTCATAGCATAAAATCGTAAATAGAAGGTAGAAGACCACCTATTAATCGGTTGTAACCTTGGGCAAACTCGATTTAATTTTGACGAATGAAATGTTGGTGTGGTGTCAAAACTTTCTTGGGGAGACTCGAATATTGTTTAATTTATTGGTTTTTAGGTTTCTTTCCATGCTCTGATGCGTTTTCGGGTGTGCCAATGGAAGCTTGCATCACTCTTTACTCCTAGCGTAAGTATGCTCTGCATTAGCTTCTTCTGTTCCATTGGTTATTATGGGTTTTGACTTTTGAGAAATATACAACAATTTAAAACCAGGTTTTGTTGTTGATTGGTTCGGTTTGTATACCATATTTTGCTAAATACATATGACCATAAATAAGACCAAAGGAGCTGGGTTAGCTCCTTTGCCAGCTAGGTTGACTTTGTCTCCTCCCCGTCTTGCGGATTTCCGTTATTCAACGGGTATATTTGAGAAGTATACGGTACTAAAACCACAACCATTGATCTTAGCTTGATCGGTTCTTCCCTAGGATTTATACATAAAAGTAAATTGTTTTGTTTAATAATTTTCCATTGCATGAACTTTCGAGACAACAAGTGGACATGAGTGTAATGTCATCAAAAGTCAAATCAAACACTGTGAGGAACATAATAGACAACGTTGGCTTCTTTCGCAGCTGCTCAACGTTGTCTCTCCCGATGGTCCCAACACTCTCTTCTTCTTTTTTTGTCAACATTCAAACGTTGTTTAAAATAAATAAAAATGTTTAACCTTAATCATCTTTCTAGATCTTTAAATGCCTAAAACTTCAACTTAATCAGTCAGCAATCTGTCACGTTAATGATTTTGAAAGGAAGACTTTTGTTTTGTTTCGGTTAGTTTTGTTTGTTTAGTATTTTAATCACAAGATAACTCTAATTTCCCATTAGAGTTGTGTTAATTGTGTTGATTATGATTTGGCGTTCCAATTCTGATATTATTTTTATGTTGTAAATCTTAAACTGTTACGTTATTGTTCTATCTTCCTATGTGAGAAAAAAGTAAAATGTTTTAAAATTTTGACATGGATAATAATATAATTGTAAATCTATAATAATTATATTATCATTTTATTTATATTTTTCAAAAAGAAATATATTTATCTTAATAGATTTAATATGATAATGTCGAATATAGTTATAAATCTAAAAGAGTTATGTTATTATTCCATCCTTTTATGAGAAAAAAGCAGATATTCTCTTAAACTTTTAAATTAACGTGGATAATAATAAATAAATGATAATTTTACTAATATGATCATGATTCGGTTTTAATCTTACCAAAAAACAAATAATGATTCTGTTTTAAAAATATATAAATTTTCTTTGTTTAGTTGTAGATATTGTCATATAAAAAATTCTTAGATCCTCCACTGCCTTAATTTTATGTAAATACCTTGCTTGATATTTAATTTTGATTTGATATCATAACTAATCCTTGCTGTTTTTTTCGGCACTAACCATTGAATTTTTTATACTGCCATTTAATTCTTGCATAAAAAATAATAATTAATAGTAGTGTTTATTATGAATGCTCGGATATCCGACCCATTTTAAAAATTCATTCACAATAAAATTGTTGGGTCGGGTTATATTTAACCCAACTCATACACCGGATATTCTATATTTAATAATTTAAATTTTTAGAAGATTTTATTAAGATTTATAATTATGATTCTCCTATCATTTTTGTTTGATTTGTTTTTAACTGTTTTGAATCATCATATAATACATAAAGTAAAAAAAAAAAATCAATTTTTTTTCTGCATATACTGTGATTCGAAATTTTAAAAACGGACATATATTATCCAATTGACGAAAATGTGTGTTCAACGTTCTACATCGATTAAAATATTTAGACAATGATTCAGAATCATATCATAAATAAGAACATTAATAAAATAAATGAGTTTTTTGGCGGGATGGGTTTGGCGGGACGGGTTTTTGAATCAACAATAATAAAAAGATTAAAATATCATTAATCCGCCGCTTCAATACGGATTTAATCCTTATTTTTTTAAATACAAATCACAGGACGGGTTAAGAAATTACGGAACGGGTTATATTTCGGAAATGATTTATATGGAGGACGAATTTGAATCAATATTTATATACCGCTTTAATACGGGTTAAATCCTCAGTTTATTAATAATTATCTCGTGGACTCGTGGTATACCGTTACTTAATAACAATTGTAAACTATAATATAAATAAATATGTTATAAAGAAATACAATTTACAAAATATTTTTATACTAACTTTAAAATTAAATCATCCCGCGGTGTACCGCGGGTTAAAATCTAGTAGTATATAAAAGATACTAGGGGAGGTCTCCGCGCCCAGCGCGGGGTTGTATGTTGATTAAAACCAGAATTAATAATTAATATTTAGGGTTATCAAGTTAGAGATATTTATTGAATTAATTTTGTCAAGAGTCTAATTTTTATAACGACATTAATATAGAATTATGGTAAAACGCTATAACTTTTGATATATATTATTAGTAATCAACAATTAATAGTGTTTTTGAATCACAAACAATTATTAGTGTTTATATCTTGATATATATAATAGAATTAAATATAAAAATCTATATATTTAAACCAACAATATATTAGCAACGCCCCGACCGCCACTGTCCATGGGTTCCCACGTCCAGTCTCGGTCTTTAGGCCCATCTTCTTTGTTTTGTCGTACTCTTGATTTTATGACATATTCATGCTTACTCGTTTCTTTCATATTAGCAACGCCCCGACCGCCACTGTCCGTGGGCTCCCCACGTCCAGTTTCGGTCTTTAGGCCCATCTTCTTTGTTTTGTCGTACTCTTGATTTTATGACATATTCATGCTTACTCGTTTGTTTCATATTTGTAATGCCACGACCGCCACTGTCTGTGGGTTCCCACGTCCAGTTTCGTTCTTTGAGCACATCTTCTTGGTTTTGTAGTACTCTTGGTTTTATGACATATTCACGCTTCCTCGTTTCTTTCATATTTGTAACGCTCCGACCGCCACTGTCTGTGGGTTCCCCACATCCAGTTTCGGACTTTAATTTGGGCCCATCTTCCTGGTTTTTGTTGTATTCTTGATTTTATGACATATTCATGCTTTTAGATTGTATGTCACTGGAGTTTTTCGTAGTTGGAAACAAATAATTGAAAAATATAATCTCTTACCATATCTCTTACCTATCAAGTAAGTCATCTTGCTCTTTGAAGTAGTTATGTACGTAAAATTTCAATGGTATAGAAACAGGCATCTCTTTTGTATATATCGTGTCATATTTATCGTCCCTATTGTAGTATCTTTGTCTCTACCTTCGCCATTGGTCGCTGCGTAACCCTTCAGTTGATCTCTTGTTTATAAAACCCATATAAAAAGTTGTAAGAGAAATATCATTTTCTTAACTGTATCGTATATGTATTTGTAGTATATTGATCTGAGATTGCAAAGATGTATGCCTATCAAGAAGCTCTTAGCAAAGTAAACACTGAAGATAGGTACTAAAAATGAGAGGATTA